GTTACTAAAGTAGGAACATATATGTGTAACAATAAGTTGGAAATTTTTTATTAGCGTTCATTATAAAGAGCCATTTAGTGTTAATGTTGAAATAGTAAACTAATAAATTTATTTATATTCCTAGTATAAAATAAATTTGAAGAAATCAAAATAATGTATATATCACTATGTATAATGAGACTATGGTTGTGGCAACAAAAATAATTGTTAAGGCCACATAAAGTATTATAGTGTGTTTTTTGATACAGGAATGAAACATTAGCTTATAAACTAATTTTAAATGATTGTAAGTAATAAATATTAATTTTATTAATTATTAACTCAAAATAATTGGTATTAGCTGCTATTAATAGTCAAAATAAAGATAGTTATATATTTTAAAAGGCTTTAACAATTATTTATCTATCCATATATATCAATGTCTTGCATATTTTGTTTTTATTATATAAGGAAAAGCACACATAAGTCTTGACTTCTAAAAAAAATTGAAGTTTCTATTTTAAATAATGTTGTTTCATTTAATTAAAACTTAATTTAAAATTTAAAATTTTATTTTACTAAATATTGATATCTAAATTTAGAGATTAATTATTTTACAATATATAATAAGTTTCCAAATTTATGTATCAATATTTAATATGATGGATTTTTAAATTTTAAATTAAGATTTTGAATTTTAAATGTAAGTTGGGACTTTAATTTTTGGTTAAATGCTAAATTTAGTCCCTCAACTTTACTGAGTTGCACATTTTTGGTCCCTTAACAATTTTTTGCACTTTTTTGATCCCTCAACTATACGAAATGCACTCCGTTAGTCCTTTTGTTAATTTCGATCGTTAACTCGCTTATGTGGCATTTCTTATAATTTTTTTGATGACATGGCAAAAACAAATTGAAAACATGTTAGATGTGAAATTTTTTTTTATGCCAACTCACGTTATTATTATTTATATTTAAAAAAAATAAAATAAAATAATTCGTTCATCTTCTTCCTTTCTCTTCTTTCTTCCTCTTCTCCCTCTTCTTCC